AACTAACTGAGCCACCCAGGGGCCCTTAGCCTAGAAATCACATTTTTTTTTCTTTTTTAAAAATTATTCTTATTAACATGTAATGTATTATTTGCCCCAGGGGTACAGGTCTGTGAATCGTTAGGCTTACACATTTCACAGCACTCATCACATCATATACCCTCCCCATGTCCATAACCCAACCACCCTCTCCCTACTCCCTTTCGCCTACAATCCTCAGTTTGTTTTGTGAGATTAAGAGTATATTATGGTTTGTCTCCCTCCCGATCCCATCTTGCTTCTTTTTTTCCTTCCCTACCCCCAAACCCCCACCCTGCCTCTCAAATTCCTTGTATCACGGAAATCACATGATAACTGTCTTGCTCTGATTGACTTATTTCACTCCACATAATATCCTCTAGTTCCATCCACATGGTTGCAAATGGCAAGATTTCAGAGAAATCACTTTTACAAAATACTGCATACCCTTGACTCCTACAAAAATTGTAATTTTCCCAGTACTCGTCAAACATGTCATAAATGCTACTCTTTCAGTCTAATCTCCATTTACCAAATGTTAAATTAGAGTATCAGCAATACGTGATATATAGTTCTTTTCTATTCTCCCTCCCACCACAGAGGTGCTAATGAGAAATATATTTGCCAATAGGAAAAAAAATGCTAAAAAGCATATAAACAATCACAAGTCAAATCAGGAACATTTATCCATACTATCTGCCTGTTAAGTGAGGGTTACCCAAGGTGTGGTTCCCACAACACTGATGTGAATAGTGATTTTAGCTGTATGTGAAATAATATTTTAATAGTTATGAATTTGCTTTTAATAGTTTATTATACCTAATACACCAAACTTACGATTTCACAAATATCAGTGCCTATCATAAGGATAAATCTACTTAAGTGAAATCATGAATCCATCTGAAAAAATAAGAGCACACATGCATGAGTGAAATCTGAGAAGCACTAGCGCCTTACCCAAATTGATCAAGGGCACACCAGCAATGATCACCAAACAGCATCAACCATATAGAATCTTAAATCAGACCAAACTTCATGTGCACATGGAAACTCACTGAAAAGCTGGTACAACTAAGTGACAACAGTGCTCTCCTCCTTCCTAAGAGTTGAGAAAATTAAGTGAACCTGAAATTTAATCAGAGCAACTAAAGGTAAGACTCAGAGCTTGGTACAATCCTTGAATTTCTGGCAAATTAAGCTTAAAAATGGCATCCCTCTCCCAGCCCAAACACCTGAGCACAGACCTTTCATAAACTGTGGACAGTCATCTCCAATCCCTTTTACCTCAGATCAGGCTCCAGATCACTCTCCCATCATCCAATCTACCACCCTAAGGTTTCCCAGGCAAACCTTAGGCCTTAAAGACCTTAAACCTCCGACCTGAAGAAAGCCGTTAAGTCAGCCTCCAGAAGAGGAATGAATCAGGCTTCCACAGAACTTCTGTTTAGTATTTTCTGTGATTCTTTACTGCCCCTTTGCTCTGCTTCACTGCCCCTTTATCACCAAACCTCCATGCCTGGCTATAACTTAGTCAAAGCCTGCATTCTCCCAAAGGTATTTGAATTAAGAAAAATGCATTTTTAATGAAATAATTAGGGAAAGTTTATATGAAAGAATTTCAGGCTACATAGAGGCAACTCAGAACAGATGAAAGAAATGTTAGGGCTCACTACAGGACTACTTCCAGGCCAGTTGCCAGGCGAGCCCCCTTTGAGCACTTTCACAATCTGGAATAAAAGTAGTTAGAGTGGAAATGGGTTGTCAACAGGCTTACCAATTAATCTTCATTTACATATGATGTTTCCACCACAAACTATTCTAACTGTCCTCATTTAGTATAGTCCTTCACTCGCTTTAGAAAAAAGATACTTCGGGCGCCTGGGTTGCTCAGTCGTTAAGCAACTGCCTTCAGCTCAGGTCATGATCCCAGGGTCCTAGGATTGAGCCCCGCATCGGGCTCAGCGGGAAGCCTGCTTCTCCCTCTCCCACTCCCCCTGCTTGTGTACTCCCCGCCCGCCTCTGCTAAATAAGTAAAATCTTAAAAAAAAAAAATAGAAAAGAGATATTTAAACATAAGAAAACGTAAATCATCCCCCAAAACTGATCTCCTGACCCTAGCTAAAAAGATACTTCTGAATCAGGCAGTTACTCACCATCAGTATGATGCCATGTTGGAGAGCTATACAATTCCCAAGATTCTACTTTATTCACATCACATTCTTACAAGACTATTACCACAAATAACCCCAGAGAATGAGATCCAAAGCCCTGACAGATGGTCCCAATTGGAGCCCCTCTCTCAAGTCATAGGAGCCCACAAGATCAATTGCCCAAACAAGTACATTCAAACTTGAAAATGGAGCTCCAAACTCAGATTTCAGGAGACACAACTTTAGGAAGGGTATATTTAAAATACAAATGTAATACCCACCACATTGCTGGCAAAGAACATTAGAAATTATCCGCTTTGAAAATTACCATAACCTAGATAACAAACCATGATGTTTGCCTCCACACATAAGAACCCCGTAAGAGAAAAGAATTTACTTGGGAAACTAGACCTGGCACTTCTGGTATTTATTTTTCTTTCACGTTTCATAACTGCCTTTAGTCACTTAATCCTATTATTTAAGAATTAAAGAAAATCAAAGAAATACCAATATCAAACTGCAATCTGGTAGACCAGAAGGTAAAAAATAGGAGGCTGAGAAAGAAACATATGCAATTCACCAAGTCAGATCATTTGAATAGCATGACATTATGTGTGGCTAATACCCTCACACCATATATTCCTTGCAAAGTTCCCCGATACCGAGCAAAAACAATTTGTCTAAAGCAAACTCATGCTTCAGCAATTTCTTGCAATTATTTTATCCATCGGAGATGAGCCCCAAATTCCCTAAAATGAGGCTTGCAATCACACTTTCCCCCATCAACTAATACCCCCTGCTCTCTTATAAGAAGGTATTTTACTTTCCATCTTCTCTCATATTCTGCCTATCCAACGCCTCAATCTCTGACCTGGTCCCTAAAAAGGATATGCTCCTTCCACCTCTTCAAGTCTAGACCCTTCACTCATTCTTTTCCTTTCAGCCTTGAACAAGATACAGATTTCCTGGAACGGAAAGGTGGGTGGACAGGCAGGAAGAGACAGAGGGACAGAGACACACACCCAACCACGCACACACATTCCCCACACACATACACACACCTCCTACCCCTGTACTTAAACAGCCTTGTGCCTCCTTACACTTCAGTTTGCATATTTTTCTTAATTCCCACTAACCGAGTTTATTTTAACTCCATGAAGCTGTAAGCAGAAGGTCACTGACTCCAACCAGCTAACCAACTTCTCTTTTCCTAAGCTCCTGCCTTTTCTGTTTCCGCTGGTTCCTCCATGGCCCTCCACTCTCCAAGAGGAGGTTCGAGGTGTGGTTAGACCCTACGTTGTTCCCTCCCTACAGCCTATGGGATCTCCTTCACTCTCCTCAGTAGAAATTATACTAGGAAACCATCTGAGACCTTACTTCTCCCCCAAATTCAAACTGCATCTTTAGCCACCAGTACACATAGCCCTTCAGCTTTATCTTGCATGCCCCAAAACCAAATTCACCAGAACGTTCCCAAGATTCCCATCCAACTCCACCTCCGCTTCCCCTTCACAGGCAGCCATCCAGGTCTGCTTATTTTTCCATATTAATATTCTAACTCCTATTCCCACTACGGTTGCAGGCTTGCTTCTTCCCCAGAGCTCAAAAGTGACTGCCATGTTCAGAATAGTATGTTTTAAGACTCCCTTATTGCCGGCTAGCACTTATTCCCCACTGAAAGGCGTGTGGAAAGAAAGGCGTGTAGGAGGAGAAAGAGAAGAGGGGAGAAGCTCCAATGAGGCCCTGCCTTCACCTCACCTGCCCAAGTAACCGCATTTCACCCCAGCTACCAAACTTTCCTTTCCATAAACTGCTGTTCAGCCTAGGAGCTTGATAAGGCTTCCCCAACTTGAACAAATCCATTAAATAAAGTCTTTTCTTTCTTGATCAGGAGGAATCACCACTATGAATACGTTAATCTGAGGATACCAGACCTTCAAATGTTACTAAAAAAACAAAACCAAAACCCCTTCCCAACCAGCTTCCACAAGATAACCTCAGCAGAGCATCTGCCCCCAGGTCCTCGGGCAATCATGAAATAATCTAGGTAAAGCACCTTGTATAAAAAATCTGTCTCCTGAAAGGAAAACAAGTAAAAACTTGGCCAGGTAAGGCAAATAACTAATTACTTGTGCCACAATTTGCTTCAGGAAAGTTGCCTGTTCTTCCTCAGGCTACACCAGGAGAGCTCAACATTTCGATTCAGCTGGTTTCCTAGGAATCATGTCTGTGCGGCTGCGGAGTTGAGGAAGAGCTGCTTCCACAGAGAAGTCAAATCGTGAAGTTGCAGCAGCGGCTGTTCTGTTAACCCACAGCTAAGAATAACACTCGACTTTCTAATTTAAAAAAAGAACGGAAAGAAGAAAAAAGAAAGAAAGACTTGGAAAGTCAGTCCCCGGGCCAAGGATCTGGGGCAGGAGAGAAAGAAAGGGGCTTCCTGCACTGACCCTCTTATCGCCCAGATCCTCCGGTCCAACGCAATCAGCGCACCTTCAGCCCGTAGGGACCAGAAAGCACCGGACCGGGCGGGGGCGAGGGGCGCCCACCCCGGGGCGGCGGCAGTTTGCAGGTGCCACCGACCGGCCCCCACGCACGTTTAACCCGGCTGGAACCCGTGGTTCCGGGCTCGGTTTCCGGGTGGATCGCGCTCACTCTTAATCGACAACGAAGTAGGTACAGGTTCGAGGCAAATCGGGAGGGGGAAAAGTCACAGGGGGCTGGGGCGGGGGAGGGGGTCTCCGCACCTCGGCGGAGACGCGGGGACACTCCTGCTGGCTCGCCGTGGCCCGAGGGGCCGGGCCCTGCCCCGCGCGCCCACCCGGGCCGCCCTACCGTGGCTCTGCAGGATCTCGTGCTTGAGGCCGCCCGTATAGTCGATGAGCTCCTCCAGGCCGCGCTCGCACAGCTGCCCGTAGCCCGAGAACTTGTGCAGCACCTTCTCCAGCTCGCGCTCCACCGTCACGCACTGATCCATCCCGGAGGCGGCGGCGGCGGCGGCGGCGCTCGGCTCCCTGGTGTCCGGGTGTCCGCAGCCGTTCGGCCCGGGCCCGGCCGAGGCCGCGTCCTGCTCCTCGTCCCCCAGGCGGGCGGCGCGGGTGGCTGAGGCGGCCGAGACAGCGGGCGCGCTAGCCGCGGCGCCGGGGGAGCCCCGCGCAGCCCGTGCCCGCCTGCCCCATGCCCCCCCGGCCCCCGGACACTGGCCGCCGCTCCCGCTCGCTCTCCCCACCCGGTCCCGCGCCCCTGGTCCTCACACGCCGCGTTCGACTGCCCGCGGCGGCGCCGCCGATTGTTTTTGTTTTCACGGGAACCGACAGATGACCTGGTTCTCCCGGGCGGCACCAAGCGCCGCCGACCCGGGGGGGGGGCAGCCACCCCAGCAGGGGAAAGAGGCGGCGCGGGCCGTACCAAGCGCGCCCTCGAGGGGGAGCAGCCTGGCGAGAGCGGGCGGAGGAACGCGACCGCCGTGCGAGCGCGCCTCCGCTCTTAAGGTGTGGGCAGTACCACGCGGGAAGCGTGCAAGGGAGAGGGCGAGGGTGGAGCAAGAACCCAATTGGTCCGAGGAGCTAAATAGGGAACTTTAGAGACAGCCCCGGCGCTCAGAGAGCGCTACAACTACGCTCTCCGTAAACAAGAGGGTGGAAACCGTCCCTAACCACTCCGCCCAGAAACGGCGGGAAAGAACCAATGGGCGCGGGGAATACGTAAGGAACCAACGTTCTCCAATCCCTGACCGAGGCGTAAACCTTCAGCCAATCGAAGTCTAGGGGCCAAACCAACTGTCTCGCTGTTGGAGGGGGTGACTTAGAGTGCATACTGGGAAACAAGTTATTTCTGGAAAGCCGTGAGGGAAAACAAGGCAGAGATTAAAAGGTGTGTTGTCTATAGGAGTTCGCCCTGGTCATAACTGATGTCATTGCCCCATTACTCCTGAGACTAGTGTCATTCCGAAGTTTTGAAAGACGGACTCGCCGCCCCAGACGAAAAACCAAGCCCGGCGAGGCGGATAGTGCCCCGGGAGGGGGTCGCTGACGAGAATTCCAGGCGGGGGAGATCCTGGAGGGTGCGGGAGGAGGGCTGCTCCCAGCGGCGCGGGGCCCGGGCAGGGACGGGCCCGGTGCGAAGGTCCGTGTCCCCGGGACGCTGGCGCCGCGGGGAGGTCACACTCCCCATCGGCCGCGGGCCTCAAGCCCCTAGGCTCCGGGGCTTGGAACCTCTCTCGACCGGTAGCTCCTCTCTGCGCCATGTGCGGGCAGCTTCACGCAATGGAAACCCGCGTGGGAGAGCGGCACAACCTGCTTCCTGCTCTCGGGAGCCTTATTCCATTGATCCGAATTAAGTTACCTCCTTTGCGTAAACTCTTCCCGGACTGCCGTGGCGCCTCCAACCTTGGCCATATCCCCTTGCTCACTAAGCTTCAATTACGCTAATGTTAGCTTTCCTGCAAAGGCCACATCAATAATTGCCTCAGGGCCTCTGCACTTAGCCTTTCGTGAGCCTGGAAAACCCATCCACCTTTCTCATCCTGAAGTTCTGAGCTCACTAGTCCCCTCAGAGGGCCCTCCCCTGACCACACTAACAGAGCCTCTATCTTCCCGCACTCCTCCAGTGTCGTGTCAAATTTATTATAATAACCATATCACCAGTTTTCTTATTTTCACACCATTTATTAAAAACTGAAGTGATCTGGTTCATTTATTCGTTTACTTTTCTGTAAATCTCCATAAATCTTTGCCTGTCTCATTCCGTCCCCGAGAGTGGTGCCTGGCGACATAGTAGCCTTTTTTTTTTTTTTTTTTTTTTTTAATTAAGGCTAAATCTTTTTGAGTCTCAATTTCCTTTTTTATAATTTGGAAATATATTCCAAGTTTATAATTTGGAAATAATTGCGAATAATAATACTTCATTGGATTCTTGGGAAATTAAGTGAGATAATATATGTTAACATTCATAGTAAGCAGGGAATAGTCACATGATAAAGGATGGTGGCTGTTGCTAGTATTGTCTGTTCCCAGAAGTAAATCAGAGATGGCTGCCTAAAGTGAAATCGCGTTGGTCTAGTCCCCAATCCTTTCATTCACGTGATTGTCAAGGGCTGCCCTAGCTGTTGGTGTGATAAATCTCCTTTCTCCTCTTTCTCGGCAGATGGCCCTAATTGCTTTTTCACTGAGAAGATTAAAAAAATCCAGTTCCAGCATCCTCCACCACTCTTAAAGTATTTCTGTCCCTACCATCCATTTTCATGAACTGTTGTCAAGTACCTAAAGGAACAAGAGTCTCTTCCCCCTTCTAAGTTGCCAACCCTTGGCTTGCTGGCTTCATGTCACCTCCCTCCAGACCACCTGGGGGGGAGATGATCTTTATTTATCCCTTCTCAAGCTGTTTCCCTTTTTCTTTCAGTCCCTTTACTGCCAGACTGCCCAAATTTTTTATATTTTTTCCTCCCTGATCTCCTTGATAAACTCATTCTTTTCTCAGTCTTGGTTTTTTTTTTTTTTTACCTTGACCTTACTGCCACAGGAGAAAATTCTGACTCATTTTCATCTGTACAATTCTTCCTTGACATTGCCTTAGTATAGTTCAGCCACCCCTTCTCCCTTGCTGGCTCTTCTTATTAAGCCCTCTATGTGAGTGGGCATTTGCTCCAGGTTTTATCCTCAACCTCTCTTTTCCCTTTACCTGCTGTCCTGGGACAGCACTTTACAATCACACGTCTCCAGCCTTGATCTGCCTCATAAGCTCTAGTTTCCCATTCTGTCTTACTAGTAAGACATTATCATACAGAGAGACTCATTACCTCTAGTCACCATGTCAAAAAAAAAGTTCACATTTCCTTTCAAAATTGACTTTCCTCCCTTTGACTCCTTTATTTTTGTCAGCACTACCTTAACTCCCAGCTACAGCTGCCACTTTTCCATCCTTATCTTTTTTAAGATTTTATTTTTGAGTAATCTCTACACCCAACATGGGGCTCAAACTCACAACCCTAAGATCAAAAATCACATGCTCCATCAACTAAAGCTGGATGCTCCTCCATACTCATCTTTAACTTACCTAAAGGACTCTCAAAAAGCCTTTATCAAATTCCTCAATTCTAACTTGTTTCCATTGCCACCCATCTACATCCTTCCTAAGATCCCTTTGCTAATTCAACTGCCTTCATTCACCCCAGAATCATTGGTGTTCCCCAGGATTTTGTCCTCAGCAGTATCCCTAGGGATGCAGATTGTCTTGTCCCTTTTTCATTCATCCTCCACATGAAGTCAGACATCAAGTTCTATTGAGTCTGACTTCCTCATGTCCTAATGAGGCTTTTTAACTTCTACATCGTCATCATCAGTACCTTGAGATATTTCCAGGATTATAATTGCTTCTCTTACCCCTACCATGGCACCAAATAAATCTTCATTCCCTTCAAAATATTGTTATAATTAGATGAGATAATCCATCTAAAGCACTCAACATAATGCCTGACACATGGTAAGAGCTATTATTATCCACTGATCAGAAATAATCATGCAAATATCAAATCATGTTGTACATCTGACACTAACGTAATGTTATATACCAATTATACCTCAGTTAAGAAAAAACTAATTACTCCCCGTTATAAACAGCTTCAAATCATAACTCTCAGCTACATGGTCTCCCCAGTGTAGCAACCCATCATAATCCCCCATCCAAACTCCAGACACTTTCACATTTTCAGGGTGAAGTGAGCAGAGTTCATATGTGCTTTTTCCTCTCCTAGAATGCCTTTCTTTGTCCAAAGCCATTCAAATCCTCCCCTTTCTTCAAGTAACAAGACAAGTCCTACTTTTTTGATACCTTCTAGATCTTGGCCTGCATTCTTCAATATGGTAAGTCACCAACTCTATGTAGCCTTTTAAATTAAATAAAATTAAAAATTAAAATCCTCAGTTGTACAGACCACATTTCAAGTACTCATTAACCACATGTGACTAGTGGCTACTATGCTAAACAATCACTGAGAAGTTAATAACAGTTCAGTTACCAGCCATTCCTTGACCTGCTATAGGACTTCTCTGCATTAAGTCATTTAATTCAGAAGTGCATAGTGCTCTCTTGGTTAACTTTTCTAGTTTGTTTACTCAATTAGATTGTTAGCTCCTAGGTCTGGGGTGACTGTTCTTTTTCTCTCAGGGGATTTAACCAGCATAGAAAAACTACCGTAGGTAATTGTTAAAGGAAAGAGCATAATAATAGAAGAGACTTCAGAACACCTGACTGGCTCAGTAGTTAGAATGGGGGACTCTTGATCTCAAGGTTATGAGTTCGAGCCCCATGTTGAGTTTAGAGATTACTTAAAATCTTAAAAAGAGAGAGAGAAGAGGGTTTCAATTTAACAGAGTAGAGAAAACTAGTGCTTGTTAGGGCAGAGATCTTTATATTCCCTCTTTAGTTTGTATTGGCCCTGCCTATCTAGTGCACGATTGCTCTAAGCTCCTACCTTGATTTCCCAGAGGAGGGTCTCTAGAAGCAAAAGGGAGGAAAAATCAGTTTTCAGAACAACCACAAATTATTGTATTTTCACTATACAACAAAAAATTCACACACAAACACAGAACCACACTCCAGTATCAAATGGACTCCCCCATATTCTGTTCAATCTGGAGAACCTCTCAATTTGTAATCATTCTGGACTTTGCTCTGGTCCTTCCCTTAACTTTAAGTTCGATTCTTTGTAACATTTAACCAATATTAATCGGAAGAAAGGAAAGAGGAAACCCTTTGTCTTCTGACTAAAATGCACATTCATCATAAGGCAATTAGAAAAAAGGGATGCCTGGGTGGCTCAGTCAGTTAAGCCTCTGCCTTCAGCTCAGTTCATGATCCCAGGGTCCTGGGATGGAGTCCCACATCGGGCTCCTTGTCCAGCAGGGAGCCTGCTTCCCTCTCTGCCTCTGCCTGCTACTCTGCCTGCTTGTGCTCTCTCTTTGACAAATAAATAAGTAAAATCTTTTAAAAAAAAAAAGAAAAAAGAAACAGTACATAAAGAAGTAAAAATCTCATGAAATCCCAGAAGCCAGAAAAAATGGATTTTAACATTTGGGGTGAATTTCCAGAGTTTTTCTTGTGTATACACATATACCCATATGTGCATTTTCATAAAAGATAGCTCTTTTTATGTACATTTTGTA